CAACAAAATTCAGATGGGGGCCAGCAGGTGGCATGGTGGTTAAGGGTGCTGGACACCCACATGGCTGACTGTGGTTCTAGTCCCAAACCTGGAGGTTTGCTTTTTTACACCTCCTCCCCCGCAGTGTTTCTCTCTATAAGTATTAAATAATAATAATAAATAAACTTAAATAAAATAATTCTTTAAAAAAATCAGATGGTTCTTGACTAAGGCATCTTGACCCACTGTGTGGGAGGTAGTTTTGTTATCACTAATAATTAAATGTGAATGAAAGGCATCATAAGTATAAATTAGACTGAATTAAAGGCATTCCTATAGCAACAGTCAGTAAATTCCATGGTGTTTCACCAGGAAACAGAGGAGGAACTGATTGTGGCTAGTACTGCTGAGATGAAAGCCAGGGCTGAGGCAGTGGCCCCTGGGTGGAAAGGAGACAGTGTAATCAGTATGTCTAGTGGGGTGCTCCATGGCAGTGCTATTCGAAGTGAAGTCTGTGTACCAGCAACATCAGCACTGACGAGGAGTCACTAGAAATGCAATCCAGACATGTGCTACCTCAGCCTGCTGAGTCAGATTTCCGAAGGAAGATCCCGTGAAAGTCCAGGGGATTTTTATGTGTACTAAACTTTGAGAAGCCCTGGGCTTTGTTGCTGAAAGAGACTGCAGGGCTCACAGATTACACACACTCACATGCTCCAACACAGATACACGCAAAAGCCCCTGGCAAGGTGAGAAGGAGGCAAACGTGCACAGAGAGGAAGAGATGGCAGTGAGAGATGTGTTCTCAACAGCGCAGACGAGATTGCCACGGGAGCATGAAGGCTGCTTGCTTGTGCAAGATGCAGTGCTCGTGTGGGAGGAGAAGGAGCAGGGGAACCGACAGCCATGGCAATCCTAGAATGGACGGCATGGATCAGGCTGTGGCTGGGTATAGATGTCACATCCAGAACAAGTGGGGGTGAACAGGCAGGCACTGAACCCACTGAGTAGTGGAGTGGGCCAAGACAAGTCCCGGCCAGTGGTAGCCCTGTGTTTTGTGGCAAACTTGCCTTCTCGTTGGTTCCTTAGTACCTGCTCCCACATGCTCTCCACACATCTAGTAGAAGAATGCTGTGGGACAAATCAAATTTCTCCAGTTTCTTCCCTGACCCAGCTGTGCTTCCAGTTACCCATGGTCAACTGCAGGCCACAAATTGTTGAGTTCAGTACCATACGATATTTTGAGAGAGACAGAGAGAAAGAGACCACATTCACATAAGCTTTGTTAAGTACATTGTTGTCATTGTTTCATTTTATTATTGTTGTTGTTCACTATTACTGTCCTAATTTGCAAACTAAACTTTACCTTAGGTGCATAGGTATAGGAAAAAAACATTGTTATGTGGAGGGTTTGGTAGTCTCTGCCATTTTGGGCACCCATGGAGGGTTTTGGAATGTATCCCTGTGAATAAGGGAGAATTGCAGTGCATGGAAGTGTCCTGCTTCTTATCTTACCTTCTGTTTTTAAGTTTTATTTACCTTAACATTATAGTTTTATACTTTTCTGGTTTTTCATGTGAACTTAATTAGACCTTTCAGTTTATCGCTTCCCTTTCTCCAAGTTCTTTAGGCTCACTTTCCCTTTATGCTTTTTTCCTAAGTATTCCTTTCCTTGATAAGCTCTAAATCTTGTTTCTCCAGAACTTTGGGGGGCATTTGTTATTACTTTGCCCCTATTATGCCCAAATCAAGTCTCTACAGGTTTCCATTCAGTTTTCTGCTTCTACCTTTGTATTCTGCTATATTTACTTCTCACCTAAATCTTCTAATGAGACAAAGATCATTTTCAAGTATGTCGACCAAGCTAGCAACCTCTTATTGGTCTGTGGGCCAGTTCTATATAAGAGATCAGTGACTTCTTGCTCATTCGAATCAGGTTCATGGGATACAAAGGAATATCTGTGCCACGCAGCCATTCAGAGAGCCAGGGACCCCCACCAGATCTAGGCTTAGCAGTGAACAAGTCACCGCCACTCATACTCTTCTGACCAGAACTTAGTCCCATGACATCACCTCCTGTAAGGGAAACTGGGAATATAGGCTAGCAAAGTGCCCAGGAGGAAAAATCATTGGAATTGGTTCATTGAACCCAGAGCATTCCTTGCCACGCTTTATTTTTTCTTATTGGTCTCACTAAATCTACTACCTTTCAGGTCCCCAATATTGGGAGGTACGAAAAGGACAGATGATAATTCAAGGTTCACTGCACATCAGGTGTACCACAGACACTGTCTCACTCAGGCCTCATGACAAGCTTGCAAAGGAGTTATTGTTATCACGCTTTACGGATGAGGAAATTAAAGAACAAAGATACAATGACTTACTTAAGGTTGCACAATTAATATGCACATATATGCCTGAACTGTTATTGCTTGGCTGAACCCAGGCAATCTGACTCCAGAGATCCGTAGCTTATATTATACAGCCTTCTGCACACAGAAAGGAAATGATGATCAGGGCCACACAGAGATGACTAGAAATGACTACTTGTGTGACCTACTGGTTGCATAATCTTGCTTGAGTTTTTCTGCCTTTGTAAACTCTGACATCTTCATTTGTAAATCAAATTATTATTACTTACCTAATAGAGTGGTTATGAGATGAAATGAACTAACGTTTTAATTATATGCAGTTTTCATGCCATTGCACAATTTTTATGTCTTGTGCTACACCTGGCACGTGATAAGTGATATATGTGGTATAATAATGACAATAATAATAATAATCGTCATTATTATATCACATATAATAATTACTGTCAACACATTATCAACCTAAAGAAAGGTTTGTGTGCAGTGTTTGCACGAGTGGTAATTCCACATAGAGTACGGCAGCCTTTGTCTCTTGTGTGCTTTCTCGCCAACATCCTTTACATTCTCTTTGTGTGTGTGTTTTCCAGAAAAAGGTTTGTCCATGTTAAAAATCCTTACCTGGAATCTATGGATGAAGACGTTCTCTATCACTTGGATTTAGGGACAAAAACACACAACCTACCAGCAATGTTCGGGGATGTAAAGGTAAAAGCATTTCTAACTTTGAGAAAAATGATTGAGTTTCATTTGTTAATTTTTCTTCTTACTATTCCCAAATAAACTACACTATGAGTAAAAGAAATGTCAGAGATCTCTGTAGGAACCGAAACCACGCTCATCCTCTGAAACAGTTTAGGACGTGTACGTGATGAGCAATCATTTCTACTCCAACAAGACATGAAAGTTCCCGAACTAAATCTAATGCAAACATCATTATTTGGCTGCTCTGATCCCTGGAGATAAATAGAATTTTTTTGACAATGCTGCTGGGTGTTCAGAATTCATTATGTTTTAACATATTCAGAGCACTACTGAGCATCTGCATTTATAGCTGAACATCACTAATTCCCATCTTATTAAATCAGAAAATAACCCAACACTAAAAGTACTATTCTAATTCTTCAAAACGATGGTCTAATTTTTAAATATTTTAAGATTTTTGTTATTTTGTAAGAAATATTTTTAAAATAATTATTTTATTTAATTTTTAACTTTTTATATATTCATTTACTTATTTTAATTTGACCAGTGAGGGACAGAGGGAGAGGGAGAGCAAGAGTGAGAGTGAGAGAGAGAGAGAGAGAGAAAGTGAGAAAGCAAGCCACCAGGTCCAGGACTTGAACCATGGCCAGCCATGTGGGAGCCCAGCACCCTTAACCACCACACCAGCCCATGTGAGAAATATTGTATGAGGAAATTGTTTATGAAATATTTCCAGGAAGTTTGTACTTCTTCTCTACCTATTTTATCTTTTATATGTTTTACTTATAAAAGCGGTTTATGTTCATTATTTAAAAATGAGAAAATATAAAATAGTACAATGATTTTTCAAAAAGACTCTATAGTCCTACCACCTAAATATAGACATCATCAACTCATTTTCTTTTCTTTCAAGCATTAAACATTTTTATTTATTATGATTATTTATTTGCTATAGGGTATGTCATAGAGAGACAGTGAGAGAGAGAGAAACAAGGACAAAGAGAACGTGAGAAAGCAAGCCGCCAGGTTCAGGACTCGAACTGCAGTTGGCCATGTGGGTGTCCCACACCTTAACCACCATGCCACCTACTGGTCCACTTTTAATCATTTTTAATAAATAGATTTTAAAATAATAATAACTATATAGCTTTGTAGATTTTCACTTAACTTTATGGCATGTAACATTTTCTTTGAGACACATTGTTTATGGGTGTCGAGAGTCTGTGCTGTACATTATAGAGATTATTATTGACTTTTATGTTGCAGTATTTTCCATTATAAACAAGACTCAAGTGGATATTTTTTGTACCTGAAGATTTTTTACCTTTAGGTCAATTTGCTTAGTAAGATTCACACAAATAGTCAAAGTGAATGAACTTTTAAAGAACTTTGGTCTTCCAAAAGATCTAAAAGATCTATACCTATTTACACTCCTTTCATTGGAGAATTGCACTGTTTTCACTTGACTTTTTTTTTTAACTTCTTTAGCAATTACAAAGGTTTTGTTTGTTTGTTTGTTTACATTCACTGCTCATTAAATCATTATATTAGCTCTTTTAGGCTGGTTTAGCAGCTATTAACTTTCTCTATAAAATAAGAAATTAAGAGAGGGCAAAGAAGATTAAGGTTACACCATGGAGTGGCAGATCCAGGCCTTGGACCAAGTTTTTCTTTCTTTTTCTTTCTTTCTTTTTTTTTTCTTTTCATTTTTTTTTTGGGGGGGGGAAGGGGTTTGCTATAGGGCACATGCGCTCACCAGAAAGACAGAGCAAGACAGAGAGACAGAAAGCGAGAAATCAACCCCCGGGGGGATGGCCATGCCACAATCCCTTCTCCTCCATTCTCCTTTCGGAATCTTGGGCATGCACGCACATGCACCTGGCTTGAGTTTAAGCCACCAGGTCCAGGACTCGAACCGCAGTCGACTACATGGGAGTCCAGCGACATGGCCATTACGCCAAATGCTGTTCCCTGGACCAAATTTTTCTAAGATGAGTTTCAGGGTTCTTGCCCATTGCATTAGGTGACACTTCAAGACACAGTAACTCACAACAGTCCACAATTATTTAATCCTAGCTCTTTTGTACCCAGGGTATGACGAAGAAGATGAAGAAAGGGGAGGAAAGAGAGGAGGAGATTAAGAAGGAAGGATGAAGAAGAGAGGGAGAGAAAAGAAGGAAAGAAGGAGGGAGGGACAAAAGAGGGAAGGAAATGAAGGTACAATTGCCCTGCCCTCTCCCTCTGTCCCGGGAGCAAGGTGTGGAGTTGTAGGATTTCCTGGCAGCAGCATGACCTGCCCTTTGCTCACTCCCCGCAGACCGTTGCTTGCGTGTGGCTGCCCTCCGTCTTTTGCTTCATTTCTTCAATACAACCTCCCCCCCACTTACTGCTCTTTCTGAGGCTTATACTCTATGAGTCATGGATCGAGGCTGTCTTTGATATTCGTTAACCAGATCTTACCTGCATTCAGACTTCAGGTTTGAGGTTTATGCCTCACAGTTTATGCCTTTATCTAGAGTTGCCTCTGATGAATTAAAAGGCTGCTTATCATAATTAAACTGAAAAGACTTAGAATATGTCTTTGGGACAGACAAGGAGCTGTTATCGACAGAGCGAGGTGTCAGTCTCTCCTCCACAATCTACAGAGCACTTTGCGTGTCTCAGACTGTACAGCATAAGTGAATAGCAATTCAGTTATTCAGTTCCTACAGCAACAAGGGTAGTTATTGTCTCTATTCTACAGATGAGGAAATCGAGGCTTAAAAATTATATATAGGGGTCAGCAGGTGGCATAGTGGTTAAGGCACTGGGCTCCCACATGGCTAACCATAGTTCAAGTCCTGGACCCAGCAGCTTGAAACTCATGCCAAGCACATGAGTATGTGTGCCTAGAATCCCAGGAGGAGAGTAGAGGAGAAGGGATTGCAGCATGGCCATTTCTCACTGTCTCTCTCTCTGTTATATATATATATATATATATGTGTGTGTGTGTGTGTGTGTGTGTGTGTGTGTGTGTGTGTGTTTATATATACACATACATACAGTGTTATAACCTGCATATAACATTTGTATATACTTACCTGTCTATAATAGGTACAATGTAGCTGGTGATAAAAGAGCTGAGATTAAACCTTAGGTTTCTCTGATGGCTCTTCTCTTCTTTTCTTTTTGGCTCTTCTTTATTTCAGAAAAAAAAAAAAGCACTGCGTTTTGGTAAAGCAAGTCCTAGTTTCTGGGAAATTATTACAATAGAATAGTCAGCTTTGTTTTAGAGATGAACAGGGACTTGTACATATTTCACACACACACACACACACACACACACACAGCTGTTTCATCTGTTGCAATCCCAGGAGCCAGACCTTCTCCTCTTCACCTGACTAGATTTTTATCAGCACTTATTCTTACACTGTCTGTCATAAACACTGCTCAATCTTACACTCTTACCACCCACATGGTTGTGGATGCTTCAATACATTGTCTTTGGATACAAAGACATGCTCTGTTTATAAGCTATTTTTTTTCCCCACCAGAAAGCACGTGTACTGATTTGGCCATTTGGACAGAGAAGAGACAAAATTGTGCGTGTAGGGGGTCGGGGGCGGTGAGGGGAGGAGGAAGACAGAGGAGCAGGTAATGCAGTTCCATGTTACCAGAACTGGCCATTTAACCTAAGCCAGGACCTTTCAAAGGCAGCAGGTGAAGTCTGATTTGTGTTCATAGATGCATTTCTAAGAAACCTGCCTCCCTCTAGCCACGTTATCTTTGAATGAGAACATTCTACAATAGATTCAATTTCTTGACTCCCTGAAATCCCAAGGAGGCCGTCCTAGCTAAGAATAGTAGAGCTATTCCATCAGTACCTGAACACTTAGCCTCGTCTTCACGGAGATGATAATCATTAACAGCACTATCTTTACAGAACAGGAGAACACTGGGTGTATTAAGTGGAGACCTCAAAGACTATGCAGTTACTCCTGTTCCTTTCGTATTCTTTTTTTTTTTTTTTTTGGAGAGGATTTTACTATAGGGCACGTGCGCTCGCCAGACAGACAGAGATAGAAAGCGAGAAATCACCCCCCAGGGGGATGGTCACACCGCAATCCCTTCTCCTCCATTCTCCTCTCAGGATCTTGGGCACGCACGCACACGCAGCCAGCGTGAGTTTAAGCCACCGGGTCCGGGACTCGAACCACAGTCGACTATGTGAGAGTCCAGCGACATAGCCATGCTAACTGCTGGTCCCTTCCTTTCGTACTCTTACATACTGTATTTTTAAAGGCTTTTCTAACTGCTATTGCAAACTCACAATAAGAAGAAAGAAGGTGTTTCCGCTCAATGGACAGCTTTCCTGCAACTGGTGATTCAGGGATCCAGGCTGCTTCCATGCTACTGCTCTGTCATCTTCAAGGACTGGCTGGCAAAGTTTCCCTGTGCATAAACACCCACCCAGCAGACGGGAGGGGATAACAGAGAGCAGTTGCCCCCAACCTTTTTGGCACCAGGGACTGGTTTTGTAGAAGACAGTGTTTCCACAGTCTGTGGGAGGGGGAGTGATAGTTTGGGGATGATTCAAGCACATTACATTTATTGTGCACTTTATTCCTATTACTGTTACATTGTAACATACAATGACGTAATTATACAACTTGCCACAATGTAGAATTAATGGGAACTATTTCTGAGCTTGTTCATTGTAACTAGATGGTCCCACCTGGGAGCTCCTATGAGAATCTCATGCTGCTGCTGATCTGATAGAAGATGGAGCTCAGGTGGGGATGGCAGGCAGCTGTAAATACAGAAGGAGCTTTGCTGGCTCACCGGCTGCTCACCTCCTGCTGTGCAGCCCGATACCCAGCAGGCCACCGAAGGGCACTGATCCATGGCCCAGGGAGTTGGGGACCCCGACATATAAGATCACTAGCATATGCTCTCTGTAGGATGGGAGTTTCTGCAGGCTAGGACTGGCAGTGGCTCCTCCAATTTCTGCTTACTTTCTAGTG